TAGTGTTTGGCAGGGGCTGGAGAAAGAGGACAATGGGAAATAACCATTAGTGGGTATGATGTTCCTTTTAGGGGTGATGAAAAAGTTGTGAATTAGACAGTAGCTTTGGTTCAATCACCTTGTGCACACATTAAAACCTAACGAAAAATATGTGCACTTTAAGAAAGTGAATCTTAAGCATGTACACTCTATCTCAATAAAACATTCATAGCGATGGAATTAGAATGAGGAAATTTAGGACAAAAGAAAAGATGAATGGAAGATGAGGAAGGAAATACAGCTTAAGGCAGAAAGGCTGAGTCAGAGCAGTGTGTTCAGCTTTGTGACTGAGAGCATTTTAGCAGCCAAAAGCCTGGTGACCTGAGCCAGGAGCTACAGCCCCACCAGGGTCTCTGCTTTGCAGGAGGACAACTTCTGGACCAGACACTCCACAGTTATTTTTTCCATATGGCTCAGATAGTTTGATCAGGTCAGAAAACAACTGGGTAACTAAGTCCCCAACAATAAACCTTTCAGCATTCTCCATTATTATGCATCATGCAGCAGGTTCTTTAACACATTTACTTAATTTTTTAATTCACTAAGTGCTTGCTGAGCACTTGCCCACTTTCCTTTCTTTTCCCCCAAAATGCAAGAGTTTAACTTGTCTTTGAGTGTAATAATTTTGGAAAAAGGGCTTTGTTTCTCCTACACACCATTGCTATTTAAAAGGAAATGTAAGATAATATCCCCATCCTCTTTAATAGCATACTATTCCACTTCATTAATTTCTTTTCTACTATTACAAGTCGCTCCTTTTTGTGCTTGACAATTTATTGGTCACAAATATTTTAGCTTATTAAGATTCAGGAAGAAGACTATTAAGTGTAACCCATTTTAGTGCAGTATATTATTTCATCACAAATATGCCAAATAGAATTGTTGTTAATTTCATCTAAATAGTAAATGTTGCATTGATATATGGCCAAAAGAGGTAAGTATTCTTGCATGATAAATATTCTTATTAAAAAACTGTGATGTACCCAAGTTTGATCCCCGATACCAAAAAAACAAAACAAAAACTGTAATGTTAACTGATAAGTGGATTTTTAATGCTTATTTGATTCAAAATATCCTACCCCCAAACATTCTACTTAAAAATATAAAGAACAAAAAGCTAAAATAGCCACTGAGAGTACAATAAATTCTCTGTTGATTCTGACAGCAGGTCAGCCAAGGTGAACAAATGAGCCTCATAATTGCATAGCAGTTCAAAAAATTAGCCCTATCAAATGAGCAGGGAGAAGAAAAAGCTAGAGACTAGAGGAAAGGTCATAATATTAGGACTGAATAAAAGCAGCTCACTAATAGCAATGGCCCTTCATCCGACAGCACTTGTAGAAAGTTTGAACAAATACTGTTAACGTGAAGAGAAATTATTTTCTGAAATAATATTTTTTTAAAAGATTACAATAAGTGCAGAGCACTGCACGGCTTCTGTTGCATCTCATTTTTTCTCCAAGTGAGTGTGCTGTTTTCTTAAGCATCCTGTGAGCCAAGTTTCAATTTAGGACAGCTCCTAGGAAACACAACATCATTAACAGTAGGAGGAGGGAGGAGATGGTTAATTGCAAGTACCTTTATACAGATATAATTGCACTTGGATGAGTAAAAATCTCTCTGAAGGTTGTGGAGATAAGAAATTGCAAACAGGTTTGTGGTCTGAAGCGATAATAGCTCAGGTCTATTATTTGCTTAAACTTCTGTGTTGTTAAGATTGATTCTGCTGTTTGATCTTAAAGGATAGAGTGGCCTGTGAATTCTAGACCTTTGTCATGGACAAAGAACAAGTATGACTGACAATTCCTGATTCATTCATTCCTTGAGTGTTTGCTCAAATTAAGCCAGTGAGTAAAAGAACTAGCTTTTCATTTCTGGAAAATATAGTAAACATACTCACTCATTAGACACCTCTCTTGTGACAGATGAAAGGAGATGAAACATTTCCCACAACATCTTACTTTGTCACTATGAAAGTGACACCATGGTGAAAATGTATATAGCAGTCTGAATTTAGCCACAATGTACATGACTTTTAATTAGCCATAATTGTATGAGTAGCCAACTCCATTTCAGCTGAACACATTCCCTGTGTATGTTTTCTCTTTGTTACTTGCTACAGTGTAAAGGAAAAATACATGTTTACACATAATTATTGGTTGACATGTAAGGCAAAGTATCACAATGATGATACTTTCTTAGTTCTGAGCACTACTGCATACAGTGCATGACTGACTTTTGCACATTTGTATCTTCACTCATATTTAAGTGTGTTCTATATGTGCAACTCTTCGGAATAAGATAAAGACAGGACAAAACAATGTATTTAAATAGCACAGTGAGAGAGACCAACAAATACAGGTCTGTCCAGGCTGGCCTGGAATTACCGGTTGGCTCTCTTCCAACTTTTGGTGAGTTTTAAGATATATAGCCTCAGGAAGGCAAAGCATTGCTGACAACAAACAAGAAAAATTAAAATTACTGATCTGCATATACAGTAATAAAAGGAAAAGAAGAAAATGCCAGTAGGATGAGGTGGGGCCTTATTTCTTCTCAGAGAAACACCCTTCTCTCCTACGAAATGGGGAAACTCACCTGGTTAAAGAGAAGTACTTTTTTTGAATACTAGGTTTGCCATAATTTTGCCTATTATGGGAACTGGAACTCAGAAGGGAGTACAGAAGGGTTTAGGAAGCTTTATACATGGATTCCTGAAGTAGTGACCTCTCTGGGGGATGCGGAGAAAAAAACCCCAACATCAGTTAAAAATACAATCGAGTTTTGATTAGAAGGCTGAGACTTCAGTCTTGCTAAGTAGGGAAGTATTCCAGGTACTCACATTCAGACGTAGCATGACATAGCAGTCAAAAACACATGGTTAAGCAGAAATAAAAGCCAAGTTTCCTTAGTGTGGGGGGGAAACGTTCAGGAGAGATCAAGGTTCTTGACATAAGGGATGCAGTGATGACATAGTCATGTGTTTATATGTATATATCTGTGGCTATGAAATGAAGAACAAATTGCGTTTCATATTAGGGAAAATATGTTATATTTCTGTTTCAAATGAGAGAGGCATTCCTTGAGCATCAGATTTGCAGAGGGGACTGACTGGTTATCTGAATCCAGTTCTACCGAGTTTTGTGACAAACCGTGGTCCCTGATGTTACCATCAGTAAGCTCTTCAAAGCATGGAATGTCTCGGACATGCACAGCCTAAGAGGATCTTTTGAACCCAGAACTGGACTCTTGGCCTCCCTCTTCTTCAAGAAACACAGAGCCACGTACTTCGTGGTAGGAAATGTTCAAAGAATGTTCGGTAGACGAGGTGAACTCTTGCATTGCTAGGACTCCATAGGAGCGACCCGGAGAATCTCCCCATCAGATGCAGGGCAACCGAGGCTAGGAGATTAGATGCCCCTTAGTCACGGGGGAAGGGGCATTCTGGCCAGGACTACTGGCTCTGGAACATTTGCTTTTTAACAAATAGACTTGGCTGCTCTTCTTTCTTTCTAGCCCTTGAAAATTAGGCTAACTGTATGCAAAGTAAGATAAAAACGAATCAGAGGGCCCGAAAGGGTTAACAGTGGAGCAAACCGAAGAGCTGAAAAAAACCAACAAACTGGCTAGGGAAAGCCCGTCAAAGCCCCCTTCGGAAGGAAGCTCAATAGGCCTCCTGTTCCTTTAAACTCTCGCTTTCGCTCCCGCTGCTACTTTGCAAAGCTGGGCGGCGGCGGCAGGACCACGCACAGCGAGCCACCTCCTACTTCGGCCGGGGGTCCGCGGGAGCTCGGCGGGGTCAGTCACCCCACGGCTCCGAGTGCGTCCCTCACACCCCGGCCGCTGACAGACACAGCCTCCCGGAGAGCGCGCTGTCCTTAACCCCTGGGCGCCCAGGAGGACCCCGCACCCGCCGCGCCGGGATTCCCTGGCAGCCTGGCCCCGCGGAGGCCGGAGAGCCAGGTGGGTGCGCAGTGCGCGTGCCGTACGCGCGGATGGCGCCCCCCTCGGCGCGGAGGTGGCGCTCTGGGCCCGCGCGCGGCCGGGGCTGCCCTCTCGCCCCCGGCTTGGCTTCCTCGGCTTCCTCAGCCGGCGACTCCTCTGCCAGCCCCGAGGAGAGTGCAGCCATTGGACAGGTCGGTGCCGGCTGCCGCTGTCGGGAGGAAGGTGGGAGCAGCCTGAGGAGCGAGGGGGAGGGCGCAGGGAGGCGGGAGGAGGTGCAGCCGCGGATCTGGCAAATTGCGAGCCGCCTGCCCTCCCCGAAGTGCGGAGCCGGGGCGCGGAGGAGCGCGGCGGTGGCGCCTCCTCCGCCACCAAACTCCGGGGCTCGGCAGGGCTCGGGCCACCTCCTCCTCCTCGCCGGGAGGCGCCCTCTCCGGACCCTCCAGCCCAGCTTTCCCTGCGCCCTTCCTCTCCGTCTCTCCGAACCCGCTTCCCCTCCGGCTCCGGACCTCAGGCTGCAGCCCCGGACCCGGGCTCAGCTCCCGGCGCTGCCCGGCGGCCGGAGAGGACGCGCGCCCCGCGCCGGGCGAAGCCCAGAAGGAAAACTTGTCGGGGGCTCCGCCGGGGCCGCCCTCCCGGGACCGGGGAAAGTTCCTCCGGAGCCCGCGGCCCCTGGATCTGAGGCGGCACCGGCGCCCGCAGGGAAGCGGAGCGGTCTCGACCCCAGCGCGGCGCCCCGTGGGCGCTCGGACGCCGCCGTCTGCGGGCTCCGGGTGGCGCTGCTCGGCGGAACCTGGTCTGCGAGCCCTGGGTGCGAGTGGCTTTCCCGCCGGCGGCGGTTCGGTGCCCGCGCCGGCTCGAGGTCTGCAAGTTGCAGGGAGACCCCGGGGTCCGGGAGCGCGCGCTCCGCTCGCCTTCCCCGCGACGCTCGCCGGGCCCAGCCCCAGCCCGAGAGCTCCCCGCCCGAGCCCGGGACGCCGAGGAAGGAGCGGCGGGACGCGCAGGGAGGTCGCGGCGCAGGCATGGCGCGGCCCCCGAGGCCCGAGCTGGCCGCCGCGGGAGTTGTGCTACTTTGTCACTTTCTCGCCGACGGGATCCAGCTCGCCGAGGGGAAGCCCGGAGGCCGAGGCAGAGGTGAGACGCCGCGGCGCGGGGGCTTTGCGCGCGCCTGGGGCCCCGGGACCCGGGCCCGGCCCGACCGCTCCGGCTCCCTCCACTCCGCCTGGGCGGGGGCGGTGCCGGCCCTGCGCGGAGCTCCGAGCGGACCTGCCGAGGGCGCGCACGGAGGGCGCCGGGTTGGGGCGCGGAGGAGGTGGCAGAGATGGGGCGGGTGAGCCCGGAGGTCCGGCGGCTCCTCGCCCTCCGCCCGCGGGCCCTGCGGACAGCGCGGCTTCTCCGACGGCCCCGGCCCCGCTCCCAGCCAGTTGCGCGTCGCGGGGAGACCGCGCTCGGGTCCCGCGCTCCGCTCCCCTGGTGCCCTTCCGCGAGGAAAGTGAGAAACGGAGACCTGGGCAGCAGTCTGTACCCGCGGGTAGACTTCAGGGAGAGGTGCTAGGAGCAGAAGACACTTGGAGGGAAGAGAAGAGACAAAAACTTCTGGTTAGGCTAAGCAGTGTGCGGTTCGGTTTTGCTCGGCGCGTGTGCGTTTAACGTGCGAGGAGAGGCCATGGCAGAGGATCCCTCGGGAGGCACACCTGTGTCCCCTACTGGGAACGCGAGTCACAGGTGGAAAGCCAGCGAGGGCACCTGGAGATTCCGGGTGGGCCAGTATTGGAGGAAATCTTTGAGTACATTTTTATCAAGCTGAGACCCAAGTGTAAACACTGCGACTGTCCCCAGTGTGAATTTTTACAGAGAAAGCGCAGATATTTTCTCCGTGCTTCTGTTTATGATTGGAGGGAGGGAGGGTGTGTGTGTGTGTGTCTGTGTGTGTGCGCGCGTGTGTGTGCGTGTGCTGGGGCTGCTGCATATAATGACAACACTTGGAGATCTGAAAATAAAGTGCACATTTCCAGGATGATGTTGCTTATTACCTGTAAACTGTTTTGCATTGCTGGACATAGGTCTTTTGTGACTGGTATGATTTATTTATCCGGCACATTTCATTGGTTGAAAACAATAATACTGTTACCTCTCCAGATAACTGCACCGAGTAAAAAGTGCAGCAGTACTTTCTACCGGCATATTCTGGGCTAGATAAATACTTAAAGAAAGCAATTTCACATAGGAGATTAGAAGGGGGAAGGTGTGCCAAAATACAAACCACATTGTTTATTTTAAAACTTCTTTGCAACTGGGAGCAAATAATGCATTTTCACTGAAAAATAAAAGACAAGTCAGCAAATACTCACCCCCCCCAAACTTTTCTCATTATTAATGCTACTGAGGATGCAATATCCAAACATATACATGTCAAATAAATTGGAATTCCAAGTTCTCATATTGATGCAATTCATTCCACTCTGAGATTGACCAGATAATTAAAGGCTTTGGCTTTGAGGAATATAAAATGCTTAGTTTGTCAACATAAATGTACCAATACTTTAATCTCATTTATTATTTCTCGGGGAATGCTGGTCTTAGAACAGGATTTAGTAAAAAAAAGAGTGGTTTTAAATGTCTTGGCAGTTTCTGGGAGACATTATTATAAGCTGACCTAGCTTCCTTCTAGGGCATCTGTCTACATGTAGTCTTACGAAATAATCTTGGAATTTGATTGTTAGCCTACAGAAGATATAAAATATACTAAGATGTAATAGAAAAAAATTTTTTCATTGTAAAATAGCCTACGTAAAAGTTCAGTGCCTCGACAGAGAATCCAGAAGTCTTGAAATTTAGCATGTAGCAACCAAGATTTTTGTTACAGACATTTTGGCACAGGATGAAAAAAACATCTGATTTCATAACAGGGACATTTTATTATGCATTACTTTAGTCAATGCTGTAGTTGGTTTTATTGCCAGCAGAGGGCAAGGAAACTGCTAATTCTGTTTTTCCTCTTTCTAATATTTCTGTTTTGGAGGCAAGAAGTTTATGTTCAGCGTGTTGTTTATGCTTAGTTTAGCTGTTCTTTCTCTGGTTGGATTTTGTTTTTTTGTTATTTTCTGCTTTCACTGGGTTAAATACTTTAGTTTGAAATATGAATTTGTAGAGTTTATTATGAAAGTAGCCTTGTTGAGATTCTCTCACTAATGTCAAGTTCCGGTGTGCTTGTATACCTAGAGCAAAATACCGTATTTTACCAGAGAATTCATTCAAGTGAATAGTTCCTATAAAACTAGCATGGGTCAGATTATTGAAAAATGACAGGTTGGGGCTGGGGATTTAGCTCAGTGGTTCTGCCACCTGCCTCACAAGCACAAGGTCCTGAGTTCGATCTCCTGTACCCCCCCCCAAAAAAAGGTTATTTGTATCTCTCGATGACTTGTGCCTCCATATACAAATTCAAAATGTGAAACATGGGATCATTTCCTTTTAGAGAATGAACATAAGCTGTAGCCCAAATTTGAGAATGTTTGGACTGAAACCTAACGTAGTTCTAGAACATTTATAACAAAGGTAAGGTTTTTTGTTCGTGGATGATGGCATGGGGGTTTGGAATTATAATTGAAAATTTTGTGCATTTTGTTATGTTTGATTTTCACTAATAGATCTTATTATATCTTACTAGGAAGAATGGGCCTGTATAAAGCTGAGTAAAGCAAGAAATTAACATGCTCCAAATAGGTTTCTTCTCTATAAGAATCAAATTTCCCATGCAGGCAGATAGAAAATATGTATTTTAAAATTATTTTTGACCCTGTGTTTTCTTTCTAAAAGGCGTAGCCTATTGCAGAAACAGTATGTTTTTAAAGAGGGATGCTTTGGTCTACAAGCATTGTCATAAGATCTCAAGTCTTCGGCTGTTTCTCTGCATCATGGAAACAGCCTCTTTGCTCATGGTCCTCAAGACAGTGACCCTATGTCCTCATGCCTCCCCCTCCCCCGGGCCACCATATTCTGTAGCTTGTCACAGTGTTTCTTGAGCATGTACCATGCATTCCTACCTCTCCCTTCCCTAACTCCACCTCCATCCATCCGCCTTCCACTTTCTCCTTACGTTCATCCCCAGTGACACCCCACACAGGAGGAAATACTGTCTCAGTGCCTTCTCTAGTGAACTTGCCTGACTCTGATATGGAGGACTTTTCTTTTCTTCCATTTTTGCATCTTACTTATAAAATCTGTTAGAGGAGACCTCGTGTTCTTGAGGTCAGGGACGATGGTCATTTCTGAATCTCCTGCAGCATCCTACCATACAGGCATGCAATAAATAGTTGTTAAACTGAATAGAACCGAACAGAACTGTAGTTCAAGCTGAATTATTGACTTCAATACTACCTTGACAGACACGCCTCCCCCCTTTAATAGTTCTCACCCTATAAATTTCTCATCAGTAACATGGGAGTGAGTTTAGAAATTATCTTCATGGTATATAGTTTAAAACCAGAGGATAGGATCCAGATGTCTGTCAAATGGATCTAATGCTTCTCGTGTATGGTTTCTTACCTTAAACTTGGTATTAGTAGGTAAAGCTTCAAGCAGTTTTTTCTAGCATTTGTCTTTTCTATTGATTTCATGCATGACCGCATGTTCATCGTATCTTAATTTAATATCTTAAATTATAGCATACACACATATCTATATCCACATGTCTCTGTGTTTATGTGGTGCTGTTCTATATTTTTCACTAGAGATGCAAACTATTAAATAATTGTGATTCTTTGTGAAACTGCTTTTGAACTGAACTGTGCTTAGTCCTCAGGCCATTAAGTTATCCTGAACCAGGCTTTAAAAACTTAGTATGTATTGGGCTGGAGTACTACCTCAGTGGTTGAATGCTTGCCTAGTACATGTGAGGCCCCCAGTTTAATCTTCAGCACTTGCACAAACACAAACCCCCACATACAGACACACACACACACACACACAAACACGTTCAAATCTTAGCCTCATAAAACTTGCTTTGGCAGCTGTTGTGGGTATTGTGCAATACACGATATTGACAGCAATAAGGAAATAAGAGAGATAAGGAGGGAGAGACCTTGTGTTTCAATAGCAGTCACGGTTCCTCCTGTTGAACTGATCTGCTTATGTCCTCTGCACACTATGCTTTGTCGCCTTTTAACAGTTGGGGTTTTGAAAGCACAGAGCGACCCACCTCCAGCAAGTACGTAAACCTCCTGACTTACACTTCGTGTACTTCCGCACCCACTTCATCGTCTCTCTCTGTTTGGAGATAGTTTGTCCTTGCAAAACCTCATGTAGATGTTTGTTCCTTCATGTAGCAGTGAGTGCTGAGAAATTGTGGAGCGTTTTAGAGGTGGTTGGGTCATTAAGAGGATTGATGTAGTTCTCTGGGACTAGATTAGCTACTATGACAGCAGGTGGTTATGAAGGGTGGCCACTCCATGTGTTTTATTTCTTCTTACCCTTATGTTCCTCAGCTGTGCTATGATGCATTCCAGATCCTTATCAGAAGCCAGGCAGATGCTGGTTTCCTGCTCTTGGATCCTCAGCCACCAGAACCATGAGCTACATACGTTTCTTACCTCTATAAGTTAGCTTGACTCAGATATTCTGTTATAGCAACAGAAAATGGACCAAGACACTACTTTTTCTCATTTAAAATCGTTACAACGTATTTTGTTTAGAGATGGAAAGTAAGTTAAAAATCTAGTTGTATAATATAGTTATGTGTTAATACCTTGCTTTCCAGATTTCTCTTTTTTTTCATTAAGTTTATTGGTACATTTTAGGTATACAATATGATGTCATTCATCATTGGGATCTTGTACCTTTACATGATGTATCTTGGTTCTTATTTTTTTTCCCCATTCCCCCGCCCTCTCTCCTACCCCTCCACCCCTCTCTATTTACAAAAATTTGTTTCCATTTTTTCCTTCTTTTCTCATATTTTTTTCTTTCTCTTCCCCCGCTCCCCACTTCCCCTTCCACTTTGGACCTTTTCTTCCTATTTCGCATTATCTATTACACATTTTGGTCCTCCTTTACACTTTTAGTTTCTCACACCTGAGAAACTATTCGGTATTTCTGACAAATTCCATCCTTTTACCTTCATTGTCAGTGCGCTT